ACAGCGTCCCTTTTCAGCAGGAAGTAGCTAAGAGAATACGCCATCCCCTTTCCCTTATGACTCAGGGTGAAGTCTCTCTCAGGGAGGAGTGATAGGGAATGGCAAAGGACACACTGACAAAGAAGATTAATCAGAACTGGCTTTGACAAGCACTGTGGCATTTGGACAAGAACAAACTGGGAGGAGGGTAGAGAGAATAGTGCAACAATGAATGAATGGAAACCCAAAATCTCTGTAAATGTTTATGAAAATTAATAAAATTATAGAAAAAAAAAGGAAAAGGATATCTATCATTGGTGCCTAAGCCAGAAAAGGAAATTTTATTTTTTCCCCACTTGTTTTCCTTACTTTTTAATGTAACTGCTAGAACATTTGAAATGGCACATACAGTTCACATATTTTTACGGAGCAGTGCTAAAGGTTTTGAAGGCTGGCTTAAACTAAACTATTAGATTTAAATTAAACTCAAGACTATTAAACATCTCAGGTTTGAGTGTCCAGTGCCTTTGTTTCATGATGCTACTAAAACATAAATATGTCAAAAGAATATTTATATTCTCACAGTTCTGGAGGCTAAAAACCCAAATCACGATCTGGACTCTCAGTCTCTTCCTGCAGGTGCTCTCAGGAGCTCCCTGGTTCCTGGACAACCTTCAATGGTGTCGATCTTCCAGTGAGTGCGTGCGAACTTGCACTACCAGCTCACAAGAAGCAGTTCAAACCCACAGCTGAGCGGTTGAAGGAACACGGGCAATCTCATGCTCTCTCTGAAAACCAACTGGAGAGTCAGCTGAGCCGGTTCCAGCTCAACAAGCAATGGGAATGAAATGAGACCTTGTGTATGTGAGGCCTGATTCCTTTCAAACATTCTAGTGACATCACATCAAATGGAGCAGCAGCCGTGAGGATCCAGTTGACTTCTTGACCAGACATTTAAGACACTGCCATTCATTTGTTCTTCTAAAAAAAGCCTTTAAAACAAACAAACTCACATATTAACATTTGTTATTTTAGGTAAATGGCATCTTTCCTTTCTAGGTATACAGATGTTACGTGCTGCTGAGTCATCTGTGACTCACAGTGACCCTATGTACAACAGCCCGAAACCCTACTCTGTCCTGTGCCAATCTCACTGTCTCCAACACACCTACCCCCATTACCCCAGTCACTTAATCCATTTCATCAAGGGTCTTCCTCTACTATGCTATCCTATCCCTCCACCCTCCCAAGCATGATGTCCCTCTTTGAGGACTGGTCTCTCCTTGCAACATGTCCAAAGTATGTCAGACGAAGCTTCAGAATCCTTGCCTCTAAGGAGCAGCCTGGTTTAACCTTCTCCAAGGTCTATTTGTTCCTTTTTATTAGCAGTCCATGGTATATTCAATACTCTTCCAACACCATAGCTCAAAGGCGTCAATTCTCCTTTTATCCTTAGTCACTGTCCAACTTTCTGAAGCATAACAAGTGTTTGAAAAGCCCATGACCTCTTATCAGATAAATCCCAAAAAACAAAACTTCTCAAAGAGTTCTACAAAAGAGATCAGCTTGAAAAACCCTGCAGGAAAGACATTTTCATTGGATAGACAGGCAATAACACTTTATCTAAAGTCCAGGTATCTGCAGAATTCTACGGAGCAAAGTTGTAATCATTTCAGGCCTGAGGAATGGCCAGCTTACACTTCAAAACTGTCACTCAAACACCAAGTCACAACTTTCAGGAACTCTAACTTGTCTAAGAAGAGTTGTATTGAGCCTGGTCCGCATTTGAGTGTCTAGCTTCTTATGGGTACTGCCTTCTTGGGAGGACGAGGTCTAAGTCCTCTCTCTGCCTTGAACTGTTCAGAGCGCTCTGTGAACGCACACTGGGTGGCTGGTCTTACCTGCACAGGAGCAGCCTGGTGCTAGTCGACGGAGCTCAGAGACCCATAGACTGGGGATGTGTCCAGTTTCTCAGGGAGTCTCATGACCTCACAGGCACTCTTGTACCTGCTTTGTCAGTGGCATCCCGAATGTGGCTGACGTTATTGAACCATCTTAGAGGTCAGTACATGACAGGAAAACTACTCGAGAGTTTTTATTCTCAAAAAGTGGATTAAAACGTCTCAAAAAACTAGTGTCTTCCCCTGTGTGAACTAAGACCTCCTCCCTTTTTCTGGAAGCCTGCACAGGTCAACGGGGTAAATCCCTGCCCTCACTTCTGAGACCAACTCCTCTTTACAGTCCGTAAGGGACGTGGGTGCTCAGTGGTTCACACTCACGCCTTCAGCAAGCACGTGCTGCGAGGCGCAGTGCACACCAACCACACCTGGTCCCACTGTAGGAGAACAGAGACACCCAAGGTGAATGGGTTCCTCCGGAGCTCCTTTAAGCAGAACAAGCCATCTCCCCCCTGGTTCTCATTCAAACCCACACCATGACAGAGACGTTCAGGAATTTGCCTAAGAGTCAAAAGGAGCTGATTCAAACTCAGGTCTGGGCTTTTCACAAATTGTACCCACAGCAAAGTGATCAGATAGAGTTGAAATTCTCCTTTTGTAAGAAGCAAACAAGGCCCAAAAGGTACAATGGTTTTTCGAGGTCAGTAAATCCAGGTGTGAGTCTCAGATACAGACTCTTTTTAAGATGTACTTCCTTGCCCCGCTCCCCCCTCAAGTCAATCTCATTCCATGTGTAAGGGAAGAAGATAGGAATTCGTATCTAACCAAATCTTTAAAAACAAAGGGAAAACGAAACTCATTGAAATAAAAACTAAGCAGCACTCACATCAGATCTGTAAGTTTATTTGCTCAATGTATGACAGCTATGTAATGACTCACATTCATGATATTCCGTCACTGAGGAAAACTGCTAAGAATGGTCCGTGTGTGAAATAATTCTTTAGAGAAACACGGAGTTGGAAAAATAATCACTGATTAGACCTTAAAAATAGTTCACTGCATAACATGACAAAAAGCACAAAGGCTCGTTCAGAGAACTTATTCACTGTTCTCCTACACTGTAATAGTTATAATTTCACCATGACAAACACCAGACATTAAGATTAAACTAACACTGGTGTTTCTTTTCTTTATTCCCCCCTTTTAAAAAACAAAATATATAACTGCATGTCACTATAGCAACATCCAAAACAGATCAATTTGTTACGATCACTATTTGGTAGAGCAAACTTTACCCCCAAAAGGAAAAATTAAATTAAAAAAAAAAAAAAGAAAAAACTTTAAAAAAATTTGAAGACTTAATTTTTTGTCATAGGAATACATAACACCTACAGTATAAGTTAATAAATTTCAAGCTACTGTATAGAAATACAACACTAGCATGCACAATATTGTATCAATAGAGTAATGGAGGAGTTATCATTTCACTGGAGACAGTATCATAGGCAAGTGCATTTCTTTAAGAATAAAGAAAAGAAAAGAAACCATTCAAGCTGCTTAAATATCAGGTCGCCTGCCCCTCTTCTTTTTCAGCCCTCAGATATGATTTATCTTGCATAATTCTAAAAAAGCAGCCAGAGCCAAAGCTGAAATTCAAGGGGGAAAAATGGGTTTTGTAATTCCAGTAAATCTTTTCCAAATGCTACGAGAAGGACACAACACTGCTCACTGGACATGGAGATAGGTTAGAGAGCTCCGCCTGCCTCCCAGGATCGGTTCCCGTCCACGGCGTTTCCTTTAGGCTTCCGGCACGGCAGAGGCGGCAAAGCCTTCTAGCGGATCCTCTGGTGGGGTTCGGTTCACTGGGACTTTCGCTCTGGCATATGGAGGGGCCTTCTACGGAAAGTCATGCTGGGGAAACTGCTACAGAGTGTATTTATTCCATGGCCATCCTCATTCTTCTATCTTCACTGTCACCGGGATCCTGTTAAACAGACTCAGAATCGTAAGCTCAATTTTGGTAGTAGCAAAAGCCTTTGTCAGTTTTTCCTCAATTATTAGCAAACTTCTCCTTGCCTAAACAAACACATAAAATAAGCTTGGAGTCATGACCCATCTTGAGAGTTCATACTGTTACTCACTTTACAAGAAAAACAACAAAAACCCACATACACATGCAAACAAGTCATGTTCACAGATACATAAACACAGATTTACCCAAAATGAGAACACAGGGCCTAAGGCTAACTGAAAACTAATTTGTGAAAATCCAATGTAGTTTTTCCTTCAATTCCAAACACACTGATTGCACAAGAAGGGAATCTCCGTATTTCTGTTTTCATTAAAAAGGAAAAAAAAACGGAAAAATTCTGGTTAAATAAGAATTCATATTTATTATCTGGTGATGATTTTACGTTCTCTTCCTACAACAATTACTTGGGTAAAGAGTGTTTTCAAGGGAGGAAAAACTGACACACTTACAAGCTCCCTAAATTTGACAGAATGTTTTATGACTACAGCTCTTCCTTTGGGATTGTTCAACCAGCACACTTCTTGAATCTGAATTTTCACACACAAGGCCACAAATGTTCTCAAAAACAACAACAGCTAAATACCAACTGCATCTGGTACAGCGGGGAAACCCCACCACAACGTGAGGTGGCATTGCAATCCCTGAGGAAGGAGCTGTGTGGCATCTTTAAAAAAAAAAAAATCAGAATATTCTCCGGAAATACCAACACAATATATGACATACAGACCTGAATTTTCTCTATTTTTTGTGGTGTTTACATTTCTATTAAAGTGATTAATGTTTTCTGTGGCGATTTAAGAGGAAAAAAGGACAAAAATCCCACAGCCACCTGCCAAGCACCTGTCAGCCAAAACCTAAAGTAGCTCTGATTCTCCTCAGACCAGCCTTTTTTGGCCCAGGAGACTGAGAACAGCAAAATCAGCCTGGATAAGGCTGATCTGGATGTAAAGCCAAAATAACTAGTAAAGAAAAAAAGACACAACCCAATGGCTTAATGTTATATATGGCTGTAATGTAGAAACACTGTAAACTGCAATTTAGTGTTAATACTGTCAACTAATCAGATTTCGGGAAACTGGCAAGGCCTAAACCATAAGGATAAATACACCTCATGTTCCAAGTTTGTCAGTTTGGGATTTAAGCTACTCTTTGTCTGGTAGAGTACACCCTGAAAAAAACGCACAGCTAAAACAGATGAGAGGAAGTACCCAAAACTTAAGACAAGAGCATATGTACATAAAATCCTTACTGGAACCACAGAACTTACTGAAAGAGGGCCATTCCGTTTAAGTTTTCTTTTCATCTTAAAACCCTATGATCTAGCAATAAGTTAAATTAAAGACAGACAGCTCCACTTGCATTCATCTACAGAACAGTCCATACGCCAGTGTGAGGCCGCTATTCCAATACCAGCACAGCTAGCCTGACTTTCCACTAGTGGTATTTTGGCAAAAATGTCAAAGAGGCGATCAAAGACAGGACGTGTCGTGGGTTTCCTCCCTAGGAAGGTCATCCCTCCCTTTCCCTCCCCTACCCGACCCCCAACTCATGGGAAAAAAATAAAGACTGCAGTAGTAGCATCGGCGTGCGCTGCCAGTCCACCCGGGCCTAATTGTTGCCTTCGCCTCCGTCGTCGTCTTGCTGGTCGCTTGTCCAGAGTGTGAGGTTGTCACGGAGGAGCTGCATGATGAGCGTGGAGTCCTTGTAGGAGTCCTCGTTGAGGGTGTCGAGCTCGGCGATGGCGTCATCGAAAGCGGTCTTGGCCAAGTGGCACGCTTGCTCTGGGGCATTCTGGATCTCGTAGTAGAAAACGGAGTAGTTGAGGGCCAGGCCTAATCTAATCGGGTGGGTAGGCTGCATGTGCTCCTTGCTGATTTCGTGGGCTTCACTGTAGGCCTTCTCGGAGGACTCCACGACAGTCGCCCGTTTCTCTCCTGTGGCTACTTCGGCCAGGTAGCGGTAATAGTCCCCTTTCATCTTCAGGTAAAACACTTTACTCTCATACTGGGTCTCGATGCAATTTTTGATCAGGTAGTTATCCAGCAGACTCAGCACATCCTGACACACTGCTTCCAGCTCTTTCTCGATTTTCTCACGGTAGGCACGGACCATTTCTATCTTCTTCTCATTCCCATCTGCAGAGGTCTTCTGCTCAATGCTACTAATGACCCTCCAGGAAGAACGGCGTGCCCCAACTACGTTCTTGTAGGCCACAGAGAGGAGGTTCCTTTCTTCATTGGACAGCGGCTCATTCAGCTCTGTCACCTGTTAAGAATGAAGAACAAAAAGCATGGTTATAGTACAGATGATGTCAACTGGGCCAAGAAGAGCTTTAACGCCAATAAAACACAAACAGAAACTGTTAATGGAAGAGAGCAACAGAGACACTGAGTTAATGCCATGTAGATAAGGGCAGGATGAGGAAACCCAGGGAAAAGGCTGCTGGACTTCTCCTACCCTACAAAGGACACACGCTTATCTGACTCTTTCCGGGAAGGAATCATCAAGTCTGCATCTGAGTGCAGTGTGGGATCTGACTTGCGAAAGGTCAGTGGTTCACTCAGGATAACCGTATGGCAGCAAAGCACACATCAGACCAGGAGCTTTATGTGGACCAGGCTAAACACAGCAACTTGCCTTCTTCCTTGTCTTGCCCTCTCAATTATATTTTAGTTGGATCCCTTCTGAGTGACAGGTTTTACAATTTTAGGAGCACGTATTTACAGTGTCCAAGTGAACACAATCAGCAACAGAAACAATCAAGGGATCAGTACTTTTGAGTTGACCTACAGGAATTAGTGCTTTCTCAACATGTTAATTTCTAAAATAATCTTCTGTATCTCAGAGACTAATCATTTTTAATTACATTAAGGTAACAAAATACTATCTTGTTTTTTATGACCGCCAAACAACTCCCTATAGTAATAAATCAAGTCACCAAAACTATATGTAAATTATACTAAATATCTATATCAGAGACATAGACAAGTGCCTGACAATCTAACAAAGAGTTTTCTATACATGTGACACGCACCTCTTATACTGAGATCACAAAGAACCAAAGACTGCCTTCCCTCTCATCCAAACTCACTTTCTATAACACAATTAAAACTATCCATAGTTTATCAACAAATATTCCTATCCTATCCTTTTATAGTTTTTGGATAATCTTCAGCAGAATCTTGTTTCCATCTGATATAAATGATATTGTGTTCAATATTTCCACACTGTCAGATCACCATTCTTTAGAAAGGGCAAGTTGTCCTCCAGATTTCTTGCACAATGTGGTAAGCACATCTAGGGCAGCATCTGTTTGCTGAAATATATCAATCGGTATACCATCAATTCCTGGGGCCTCGTTTTTTGCCAATTCTTTCAAACAGCTTGAACTTCTGCCTTCATCACCACAGGCTCTTTCTTTCTCAAACAGAGTTTCATGAAATTCTTCTGTGTCTGCCAACTCCTTTCGGTACAGTGACTCAGTATAGTCTTTCCATCTTCTTTTAATACTTCCTGGATCTTTTAATATTCTGTCCAAAGCATCCTCAAGTATTCCAACTTGAGGCTTGAATTTGTTCTTCAGTGCCTTCAGCCTAAGAAATGCTGAGCAGGTTCGGCCCCTTTGATTTTCTGACTCCAGCTCTTTGCACATTTCATTATAATACTTTGTATTCCCACGCTGCCCTTTGAAATCTTCTGTTCAGCTCCTTAATACCTTCATTTCTTCCCTTTGCTTTGGCTTCTTGGCGCTCTAGTGCCATACTCAAGAGTCTATCTATTTTGGTCTTTTCTTCCTTTGTCTTTGTAATGACCATTTGTGTTCTTTGTGGATGATATTCTTGATATCTCCCCACAGCTTATCTGGTATTGGCTCCACAATCAACACTCTCTGACACCAGCAGCCAAGAAATTAAAAGACATACTGCATTGGGAAAGTCTGCTGTCAGAGACCTCTCCAGAGTACTGTAGAGAAATTATGTCAGTCTGGAGACTAAGGTGCACCTGATACAGGCCATGGTCTTTGCAATCACTTGCTATGCATCAGAGCTGGACAATGACTAGGGATGATAGAAGGAGAATTGATGCCTCTGAGCTGTGGTGTTGGAGAGGAGTATTGAATATAACATGGATGGTTAAAAGAACGAACAGGTTCGTCCTGGAGAGGGTGAAACCAGGTTGCTCCTTAGAGGCAAGGATTCTGAAGCTTCATCTGACATTCTTTGGATACATTGCAAGAAGGGACCAGTCCTTGCAGAGGGACATCAGGCTTGGGAGGGTGGAGGCACAGTGCAGGAGAGGAAGACCCTCGATAAGATGGATTGATTCAGTGACTGGGGTAAGGGGGGTAGGTGTGTCAGAGGCAAACAATGAGACTGGCAGGATAAAGCAGGGTTTAGAGGTGTTGTATATGTGGTTGCTATGAGTTGCAGGCGACTTGATGGCACATAACAACAACATACTTTATAGTTTCCAATCACAAAATTAACCCATTTCCCCTTCACAACAGAGCAATTGTCAAATTAGTGTAGGTACTCCTACACTATTACTTGGTGTATCTGGTTAATGTCTAAAACCAGAATACATTAAATTAACAGCTGCCCCACAAAGAAACCTCTTAGAGAGGCCTTACTGAAGCCTAGCTGCTTTCCTCAGCTTCATCCTCTCATCCGTACCTGGGGCTTAAAGTCAGTGATGAAAAGCCCCACCCTGGAGAGTTTCATACAGCTCTCTGTCTACACTTCTGCCTCTGCCTGAAAATGCCTACACTTCGCCTACTTTGCTCTCCACCTACATCTAAACTGTCTACTTCCTCTTCAAGTCTTTGCTGTTCCCCATACAGACCAACTGTAACACCTACACAGCATTATTTATAGATGTGGTAGGGAGGGGGATAAAATCCAGAAAGACACACCACATTTTGGGGGGGGGGGAAGGGGTGTAACAAGGAATTTTTTTCTATCTTTGAATCATCTACCGTCGGTGCATATCCACTTTTGTACGGGAGCAGGAACATGTGCAGTGAAAAGTGGTTCTATTAACAAATCTAAATGTTACATACTCTAAGAGAATAAAAGAAAAACCATGCAAATTACATACAGTACAGTTTATTGGAAACAGTTATTCCTTGAACAGCTACACCGTGCCTTTACTCACTGTCACAGTATCCAGCAAACAGTATGTACTCACAAAAAATATTTAATGAATTGATGAAGTTTTTAAAAAAGTGTTAACATTTCACTACATACTACAGACTCTCCACTAGATATCCACAAAACATGATACTTTGACCAGACATGGCCTCAGTGAGAGACCGCTAAGCAGAAGAAAAGGCTTTTGTCAATGCTAGAATTCAGAGGGAAGCCAAAGGAAGGGTTGTTTGTTCCACAGCCCTATTCTCGGGGAGACATCACTTCTTCTGAATGAAAGCAGCTTTTCCGTATTCTGAGGAGCTCTAGTGGTCTAAGTGGTTAAGGAGCTGTGGTGCCACCAGCTCTCTGTGGGAGAAAGATGGGCAATCTGCTCCTATGCAATTTACAGCCTCTGAGAACTACCTGGAGGACTATCAGTCAGTTCTGACTCGACAGCAGTGAGGCTAACCCCCTACAGTCTATGAAACAGAAATTACGGCCTCCTTTATAAGGTTATAGTGCAACAGTAACATGAGCAATGGCATGAAAATATCTTGAATAATTTTAAATTTAATTCTCACTGGAAGAGGCCTCTAAATATCTTATGTAACAGCTTCCTATATAGAGTATTTCTTCTCCACTTTCACCCTGTTCTCTATTTAGTCTAAGCTGAAACTTCCTTACCCTAACTCAACTCATTCCTTCCCATAAAGGTTAGTATTACATAGCTTAAAAACTCTGGCCAATCTGACTTTTAAGCAGCGCCAAGGCCTCAATCAGTCCCTCTCCAGACTCGAGTCTATATTCTCAGTGCAGCTCCTAAGGTCAGCCAGCAGTCCTCCCTGCAACAGAGACACGAGGGTGCCTGAAGCAATTCAGATCAAGTGCTGGCCTTTCCCCTAAATCATGCTGTCCTTACTTCACGGGCCAGGGACTATTTAAAGCCCAAATAACCTCACCAGCAAGTCCTCAGGTTAGGAGTGTGGTAACACTTAGGGGAGAAAACTCACATGTGCCCCCAAATACTATGTAGATTTGCCCTCAGAACCAATAACAAACAACTTTCCCATCACAATCACTTTCACTTGCTGCATCTGCACCTTTAAAATAACTGAAAAGGTCTTGGCCTTTTTTTTTTCACTGTTGTAAGGCTAACTGAGAACGGAATGCCTCTGTTCAGGCTTCTCAACAGACTTAACCGCAGCTCTTTTTTGTCACCTTGTCCCAAAGGCTGGACACCTCACTGTATACTATACAGCTAAGTCCCCTCCTGCTGCAAACCCAGATGGACAGGACGGTCCAAAGGCAGCAATTTGCACTTCTGTAAAGTTGGTCTCGTTGCCTCAGACAAACCGAAACATGAGATTATGAAATGCCAGGATCACCTTTAGATACAGTAACTCAACCACATTTGGAACATACCCAGGCACTCCCTGCCAATTTCCTCACAAGTAAGTTAGAGGGACAACCTTAGTATGCTGAACGGAAAATAAGGTTTCTCTGAGAAATCTTAAAAAGATTAAGAAAGAAATCTTTGTGTGAGAACTGTTATTTATATAAAAATAAAAGATTTAATCAAGAAAAGGCTTAACCACGACAGAAGTTAATGTAGGCTATGTCACCGGGGGAGGAAGGATAACATTTCTCAAAAAAGTCATTGAACTGCTTCTAAGAACACACCATTTGTGAATATGTCCCTTAAAACTGACTGTGGTAGAAACTGTCCAAGGTTCAAGTTCTACTTTAAATAACAAAGTTTCCGCCTTCTTCACAACTCCTAGGATACTAGTTCAAGTTCAAATGTTTTCAGTGAGTTAAAGATAGAAAGTGATGAGTAAAAAGGGTTAGGAAATCTAGCTACCAACAGCTTAGAAAATAATTCTCCAGATCCTAAGCTGCCAAGACATCGAGGAGCAATTAACGTCCACTGTTCTCCCAAAGAGTTAAGCGTGAATGAAAAGCTATCGATTTTTTGATCAAAGTCCTTGAGCCCTAAGCAATTCAGAATTTACTCAATTTCTCTATCAAAAACTTTAAGTTTTATTTAAGAAGATAAATAAAGTTGCATTCATTACTCTTTAAAGTTTAAATTTAAAACATATTTCTCTTTCAGGATCTTCTATAAAGGTTACAAAA